GATCTACTACGACTACGACTACGACTACGACTACTACTACTACTACTACTACTACTACTACTACTACTACTACTACTACGACTACGACTACGACTACGACTACGACTACGACTACGACTACGACTACGACTACGACTACGACTACGACTACGACTACGACTACGACTACGACTACGACTACGACTACGACTACGACTACGACTACGACTACTACTACTACTACTACTACTACTACTACTACTACTACTACTACTACTACTACTACTAGTACTACTACTACTATTATGATGATTATTAAATGAATTCCCAACCATCCTGTAGTGTTGGGTCCTCGTTTTGAAGAGACGGTCCCCGCGTTCACTCCTCCTCCTCCTCCTCCTCCGCCTCCTCTTACTCATGCTCTCGGTCCTCCCTCCTCCCCATCCTTGCCTCTGCCCTCCGCATGCCCACTTGGGCACACCCCTCACACTTTTCGTGGCCCAATAGGGAACTCCACCGAAGGCCCCAGTGGCCGCGTCCGCATGCCTCCCCCTGCCCATTTCGGCACACCCCTTCACACGCTTCGTGGCCCCGTAAGGAGCTCCATCGAAGGCCCCAAGGGCCGCATCCGCATGCGTCCCCCCGCCCAATTCGGCACACCCCTCACACGTTTCGTGGCCCCATACGGAGCTCCACCGAAGGCCCCAGTGGCCGCGTCCGCATGCGCCCCCCCGCCCATTTCGGCATACCCCACTCACACGGTTCGTGGCCCCATAGGGTGCTCCACCGAAGGCCCAGTGGCCGCGTCCGCATGCGCCCCCCCGCCCATTTCGTCATCTCCACTCACACGTTCGTGGCCCCATACGGAGCTCCACCGAAGGTCCCAATGGCCGCGTCCGCATGCGCCCCCCCCGCCCATTTCGGCACACCCCTCACACGGTGGCCCCGTAGGGAGCTCCACCGAAGGCCCTATGGCCGCGTCCGCATGCGTCCCCCCGCCCAAACCGGCACACCCCTCACACGTTTCGTGGCCCCAACAGGGAGCTCCACCGAAGCCCCAGTGGTCGCGTCCGCATGCGTCCCCCCGCCCATTTCGGCACACCCCTCACACGCTTCGTGGCCTCATAGGAAGCTCCACCGAAGGCCCCAAGGGCCGCATCCGCATGCGTCTCCCCGCCCATTTCGGCATACCCCTCTCACACGTTTCGTGGCCCCATACGGAGCTCCACCGAAGGCCCGTGGCGCCATAGGGAGCTCCACCGAAGGCCCCAGTGACCGCGTCCGCATGCGTCCCCCCCCCATTTCGGCACACCCACTCACACGGTTCGTGGCCCATAGGGAGCTCCACCGAAGGCTCCAGCGGGACGGTTCGCATGGCACCACCGCACCCCATTCGGCACACACCTCACACGGCTCGTGGCCCCATAGGGAGCTCCACCGAAGGCTCCAGTGGGAGGGTTCGCATGACACCACCGCACCCAATCCCGCACACCCCTCGCACTCTTCGTGGCCCCATAGGGAGTTCCGCCGAAGGCTCCTGTGGGAGGTCTCGCATGGCATCACCGCACCCAATTCGGTACAACCCCACACGTCTCGTGGCCCCAGAAGATGCTCCACCAAAGGCTCCAGTGGGAGGGCTCGCATGGCACCACCGCGCCCAATTCGGCACGCCCCTCACACGGTTCGTGGCCCCATAAAAAAGCTCCGCCGTAAGCGGTACCCACAATACAGTACTCGCAGCTGCAGATGGTTGAGTCTTTCGTCAAGCTAATTCGTTTGACTTTCCTGAGTCTTCCTCTGCTTCTTCTTCTTATTGCTATTATTGTCCTTATTCATATTCTTAGTACTCTTATTAATAGCATCATTATTAGTATTATTCTTATGCGTATTTTATGATTACTACTATTACTAGTATTACTATTACTACTGTTATTCGTATTATTCGGACTATTATTATTACTATTATTATTATGATTATTCATATTATTCCTCTTCTTCTTCTGGCGACCACGCCCGAGACGGGAACGCCGGCGGACGCCATGTGCTGGGCCACGGCCCCCGCGAAGGCGGCCGGCGCGGACCCGACGGCCCCCGCCAGCGCCTCTGCGGCGGGGAGGTCGGCCACGCGCACGGCGTACGCGACCGCGGCCGACGCCAGGCGCCTCGGGGCCGCGAGGCGCCGCGGGGCGCCACAGCCGCCGACGGCGAGGTCGGAGACCTGGCCGGGGGCCACGAGGAGGCCGCTCACGCTGGTCAGCGCGCCGGCGATGGAGGACCTCGCGGTGCAGCCAACCCGTATGAGCAGGATGCGCCACAATTGAGGGATGGAAAAGCGAGCCTGCCCTGGGTGACAAGTGCGCGGTCTGTGAACCTCCTGGGAACCCCGAAGGCCTAGAGCCGCCAGGGCGCCGCACATCACGCAGGGTTTACCCTGTCAGCCCACAGGAGTTTCAGCGCACAGCGCCTCGTAAACCAGGGTAGGGGCGTGTTTTTTTTCTGCCCTTGACATAAGGATGCCAGGGCCTTGGATGGCCATTCCGAAGCTCTTCGAGCGGGGCGCGGCCACCGAGCGTGGCCAAGGATGGGCCGAGGAGGCAGGGATGCGAGGGCACCCTTGGGGATGGTGTCCCTCCTTACTGTGAGGATTGCGTGCAGGGCAGCCGCGGGGCAGGGCCACGGCTGGGGGCGGCATCGGACCCGGGGCACCTCGGGGAGCGCCGAGGTGCGGCGGCTCTGGAGGGCGTGCTCGGGCGCCGCGGCCGTGCCACGGAGCGCTCCCCGGAGCGCTCTGAGAGCGCTGCGGTGTGTGCGGGCCGCCCTGGGCGGCGTCCGGGGGGGAGGGAGTCTTACAGGTCCTCGGCTTAAGTCGGGCGTGTCCCCCGACAGGGGGGTTTTGGGCGAAAACAGAAAGCAATACTCAAAAAAGATACCAAAAATATGCAAAACAGTCCAAAAATCCTCCCCTGACTACAGTTTGACTGTTTGGGAGTATTCCCCCTGTAGAGGGACTCGCCCGAGTGAATCCTCGGCCCAGGGCCTGCCTCGCATGGGAGCAGGTGCGGAGGCCAAGGTCTGCCACAGGCAGCCTCGAGCAAGCAGCGGCGAGATCGCCAGTGGGCCCCGCCCGTGCCCGAGTGGGCGGGGGGCGAACAGAGGAGGAAGGGCTCCCAACTTCGCGCCTCGCGCTGCGCGAGAGCGCGAAGAACTTCGCGCTCTCGCGCCGCCTCCCAGGGGAGAAGAGGAGGATGAGGAGGAATCGGAGCCGAACCGCGAAGCGCGAATGACTTCGCGCTCTCAGGGGCGCCCTTGGGGAAGGCACCGGAGAGAACCCTGAGGAGCAACTGGGCCCCTCCCGAGCCGAAAGTGGCCCCTGTCCCAAAGCACTTCCCGCAGCGCGCAGGAGCCCGCCCCTCTAGCGATCCAAGCCCCCGCTCCCCCCCGCGTCTAAGGACCAGCCCAGCCCTCTGGACAACTGAACTCGTCCCCAACCACCACCTGGGTAACTCAAGGGGCCCAGGAACACACACAAATAAATAGATACAAATCCCAGGGCTCCCTTTATTTTCACATATTTTCTGGGTTCTCGTCTTCCCCCCCACGTCCCATAGTTTCCCATCTGGGAGTCGACGATTGACTGTGTCTGTGGGTTTTTGTTCCCCTCCTGGATAACCTGGACCCCGCCGCCGACCCGCCCCTGACCCCCTGATTGGTGCGTGCAGGTGCCGTCTCCTGCGGGCTCCGCGGCACCCACCCACACCTACAGTGGGGACTCGACCACAAGCAAGGGCTCCCAACTTCGCGCTTCGCGCTGCGCGAAGCGCGAAGTGCGAATAACTTCGCGCTCTCGCGCCGCCTCCCAGGGGAGAAGAGGAGGATGAGGAGGAATCGGAGCCGAACCGCGAAGCGCGACTAACTTCGCGCCCTCGAGGGCGCCCTTGACAGGAAACCTTCCACAAGAATAGGGAAACGAAAAGTGACATAAACGTAAAAACTCGGAGCTCCGCGCGGATTTGTTGGATCCGCACTGGACCCCCCTCCCTGGCGCACGGAGCGCGCCAGGGGCGGCGCCGGAGGCGCCGCCGGGGGGCCCCAGCGCCGATCCGAGAAATCCGCGCGGACCTCCGTGTTTTTATGCTTACGTCACTTCTTGTTCCCCTAAAGAAACCCATCCCCGAGACCCCGGGACGTCCATGGCTTGCTCCTGTGGGAACGCCACGATCTCGACGGCAGAGCCCTCGAGGCCCGAGAGAAGCCCAGGGCACCCTCCGGAGGCAGGGCGGGGGGGCCGCTTGGCACGAGCCTCCACGGCATATGCCAGGGGAGAGCTGGGCCTGCCCCAATGTCCCGGTCGGGGACGCGGAAGAGCTCAGTGCGACGGCGAGCTCCTGCAGCCGCCGTGCCGACAGGAGGATCGGGTCGGGCGAGAGGGGGGGATAGCCAAGGGGGGCTTTGAGGATCAGCTCACGTGGCTGATTTTCCCGGCGCCTCCTGGCGCCGGAGGCGACCATGTATCGAGGAATGGGCCCCTCGGTGGGGCCGAAACCAGCTGCATGCAGCAGATTTCGTAACCCCCCCTTTCCCAATCCCCCCCTCCCGTCCGGCCTGAGAGGAGCCCCGAGAGGAGCGAACGGGACTGCTCCTGGCCACGGTGAGCCTCGGCCACGACGAAGATCGGCTCCCTGGCCCAGGTCGAAGGAGCAGCCCGAGGACCAGAGCTCATCATGAGCCCAAGCTGGGCCTTCTCTCAGCGTCAAGAGGGTAGGTCCGGCAGTTCCGTAGCCATTTGGCTCAAGCCGTTGCCTGGGGCCTTCGCCTTCCCTGGGGTTGGGGCTCAAGGTGGTCGAGAGACCTGCACGACCCTCGATCAGCAGCCCTGCCCAGGGTGAGGGCCACACTCACGATTACAGGATTCAGGCGTGTATCCCTTCAGCCAGACACAAGATCAGCCAGCCCTGTTCAGTTCGCGCAATGGCATGGGGGCAGCCTTGGCAGTATGGCAGAGGCAAAAGTCGCGCAGCAGATGCAGCAGGAGATCGTGAGCATGTATCGGACAAACCACGTGGCAAAGGCGTCCACACGTGGCGCTGCCAGGACTGTGGGTGCAAGAAGACGCCCTGGGCGCAGTGGTATTGTAAGCATTGCAGCAAGCCATGGAGCGGAGGAGAGGCTGATGGAGGAGCCTGCCTCGACGTGGCAGACAACGACAGCCCGCCAGGGCTGGCACCGCGGGCGAAGGGATTGCAGCCTCCGCCTGGTATCAAGAGCAAAGAGTTGGAGTTGTCCAGCGAAGAGATCGACAATCTGGTCGCGCTGGCCAACAGGATCGGAGATCGGGCCATGGAGAACAAGTACACGACCCTCCGCGAGTACAAGAAGCGGCTCGCCATGGAGCCCAAGGCAGTGCCATTGCAGCTACAGGCGCAGCAGGCACACCAGAAGGTTCAGCAGCTGGAGGCGAAGCTCAAGCAGGAGGTCGGCAGGTTCGAGGTCATGCAGGTGGCCCTCGAGGAGCAGACCCAGCGCGTGCAGGCCCTCAGCACCGAGCTGGACGACGCAGACAGCAAGTACAAGGAGCTGCTGGGCAACCTGCACACAGATGTGGTCGGAGCGCCGAGTGAGCAGCCACCCCGTGTGCCGCTGTCCAAGCTACTCGAGGGGGACCTCACCTGCTTCGACCTCGGGGAGTGCGAGACGCTCTTCGGACTGGTCGACTCGAAGCTGTACGAGGTTACGGAAGATGACCAGAAGCAGGCAGCAGAGAGGCGTGAGAAGATGCAGAAAGGGATTGCCGAGTTGGCGCAAACCTTGTTCGGCTCGGCGAAGCAGTTCGCGGAGAAACTCAACAAGGAGCATGCGGAGCACGTCAAGAGGATGTCCACCAAGAAGCGGAAGACGGCCGAGGAGCCCGACGGCGAGCGGCCAGGCGGCCAGGGCTCAGGAGCCCAGGCTGCAGGCGGCGCCGAGGGCGGAGAGGCGGCAGCCGCGCGGACTCCGCCTGGCGCCACGGCTGGCGCTGGCCATGCTGCTGCAGGTGGAACTTCTGACGGCCACAAAGACGGAATGGTCGATCGAGACCGTTCTGGAGCCTTCTTGCCGCCCGAGCCAAGCAACGTGCGCCAGGCAGCACGAGCAGCGCTGGGACAGAGCGGCAAGGGAGCTGCAGCAGGAGGCAAGGGCTTTGCAGGCAGCGCTGGAGGCGCCGCCGCAAGCCCAACGGCCGCAGGGGAGGGACGGCCGGGCGGGTAGCTGGGTGGGGGTGGCGGGCGGGTGGGGCACGTTTCTGGCAGGCAGCGTTGAGGCCTCGGCCGCGCGACAGGTGCGGGAAGGTCTTCGTTTTGGCACGCCACCAGGGATCTTCTTTCTCCCTCCGCCGCTTCTCATGCCGCCACCGCCTCTCGGTCGTCCTCCCTTCTATTTTCCCCAGCAGGAATCAGTCTGTCCTGCTTGGGAGCCAACATTGCCTCAGCGTTTCAATTTAAGCAAGTCTCGGTCTCGGAAGCTTGAGCGTCAGCGAGCCAGTCCAGTTTCCAAGGCTGACCAGGGAGAGAGTTTTTTCTCGGTAGAGTCATGCAACACGACCTGTTGGAAGTCGGCGAAGCAGTATCTTGAGGGTGAATGTCAGTCTAACGTAGCAGTACTGCAAGAGATCACTGTTGAACCGAGCGAGCTGCAGGAGCGTGAACAAACGCTGAGAGGTATAGGGTGGCATGCCAGCCGATCACCGTCCGTGGTTACAGATGCAGGAGGGCTTTCGTCAGGGGTGGCGGTGGCCTGCAGGAAGCACATAGGTCTGGGGATGCCTCCGGCAGCAGTTCGAGACCTTCCTGCACCGCAACGGCAATCACTACGATGGGTCAATACGTTTGTTCCAGGCGGATTCATACTAGGTTCGGTTTATCTTCCCGACGCTGATCCGCTAGGACCCGAAAGGAGTCGAATTCTCAGTCGTCTAGGAGAACGCCTCCATAGTTGGGGGTTGCCGTTCATCCTAGGGGGGGACTGGAATGTTTCACCTGAGGTGTTCAAGGAGATGGGGTGGGCTGGAAAACTCGGGGGCCAGATCATCCACCCAACCACCTACACGTGTAAGTCGACAGCCAAGGTTTGGAGGACAATCGACTATTTTGTGATGTCGGCAGGTCTAGCGGCGAATGTTCACTCGTGCCATATCAATAGGAAGGCGACCACCAAGCCGCATTGGCCTGTTGTTGTGCAGTTTAAAGGCAAGCCGATGGAGCACCTCGTTCGGGTGCTCAAAAAGCCTGCCGCGTTCCCC